TTTGCATTTTTAACAGAAGAGTTAGAACTGACTGTAATGGAGGTGAGAATATCAAGAGCATAAGCAGAAAATAATGAGTGCAACTCAAGTGATTGTTTCCTCCCTACCTAAAATGAGCTGTTGAAATACTTTTTCAAAATGAGGTTCAATTCATATGATTATGTGATTTTTGTCTCTCAGTTTATGTGATGTATCACATTTATTGATTTGCAGATATTGTACCAGCTTTGCATCCCCAGAATAAATCCCACTTGGTCATGGTGTATGATCATTCTAATGTAATGCTGGATCCCATTTGCTAGGATTTTGTTGAGCATTTTAGCATCTATGTTCATCAGGGATATTGGCTTGTAATTCTTTCTTTGTAGTGTCTTAACTAATTTGGGGATTAGGGTAATACTGGCTTCATAGAAAGAGCTTGGAATTGTGCCTTCCTCTTGAATTTTTTGAAATAGTCTGAGGAGGATCAGTTTTAGTTCTTCTTTGAATGTTTGGTAGAATTCCCCTGTGAAGCCATGGGGACCAGGGCTTTTGTTTGGTGAAAGTTTTTTTTTATTACTGCTTCAATTTTATCAGTAGTTATTTGCCTATTCAGGTTTTTTTTATTCCTGATTGAGTTTTGGAAGATTGTATTTTTCTAGGAATGTGTCTATTTCGTCTAGGTCAGTGGTTGGCAAACTCATTAGTTTGTTACTTCACCACTTTCATTTCTGATTGTGTTTATTTGAGTCCTCTCTCTTTGTTTCTTGGTGAGCCTGGCTAGAGGTTCATCAATCTTGTTTATCCTTTCAAAGAACCAGCTCTTGGTTTTATTGATCTTTTGGGGGTTTTTGTTGTTGGTTTTTTTGGCCTCTATGATGTTTATTTCTGCTCTCATCCCTATTATTTCCTTCCTTCTGCTTACTCTGGGCTTTTCTTGTTGCTCTCTTTCTAATTCTTTAAGTTGTCAGGTAGATAATTTATTGCCATTTTTTTTCTTGTTTGTTGGGGTAGGCCTTTAGAGCTATGAACTTTCCTCTCAGGACTGTGTCCCATAGGTTTTGGATTATTGTGTTTTCATTGTCAGTTGTTTCTAGTTTTATATTTTCATCACATCTCAGCATCTACATCAGTATATTATTGCTGATATTTTTCTGCTCTTAAATGTAGGAAAAGCATTTTCTAAAAGAAGAAAAGAATAAATTAAGCCAGGAATTGACTACTGTTGCAACAGAGAAAAATAAGATGGCTGGAGAACTAGAAGTCCTGAGGTCTCAGGAACGTCGTTTAAAAGAAAAGGTTGCAAATATGGAAGTTGCTCTTGATAAGGTAGTTTTTAACTAAATACATAAAGTCATTATCTACTAAGTAGCTATTAACTAAGTAAAATTATTCTGAATGAACACTCCATGCTGATAGGAACCAAATCTGTATTCTAGCTCAATCACCTAGCAAACTGAAAGGAAAAAAAAAGAACATCCTATAGAGAAGACTCTTCTGAGGTTTAAGAATACAGTAATATACAGTTATAGAGTGACTCAGCCTCCCCATCCAGAGACACATTTGTTGTGGGGGCAGTGCATCAGCCACAAGGAACAACATTTCACAGACAAGTTAAATTGGCATTGAAGAGCAAGGCACCTGGCTTCGAATTCAGCATGGTGGAATAGGTAGATCCTGAGCTCCCCTCCTCTCACCAAAACTACAACTGTGTAAGGCACAGCTATCTCTGAGAACAACCTAAAGACTAGCAGAACAGATGTTCTACAATTAAGGATATAAAGAGAAAGCCACATTGAAATGGGGAGGAGGGGAAGAGACTAAGTCTAGTCAGGACCTGCCCTAACCCCCACTCCCCATACAGTGACTTACAAGTGGGAGGGATATTACAACTGCAGAAGTCATCCCCAAAGAGTGAGGGGGTCTGAGTAGCTTGGGAGACCTGCACCAGAAAGAGGAGTTCTTATAACATCTGGCTTTGAAAACTCAGGGCTTACATCTGGGAGAGACAAGAAACCCAGGTTGTGCTCTTTCTGAGTCCCGGCACAGAGGTAACAGTTTGAAAAGCACCTAGGTCATACATGAAGGTGGTACATTGACTCATTTGAGGGTGTGTGATGAAGGGACAGGGATCTGTTGGATCTCCTGAGTCAGAGGTGCTGGCAAGTGCCATTTTCCCTCCCTTTCTTTAACCTAGCTGGTCTGACACTGGCAGGCGTCATTTCTGTCGCTCTCCATTAACCTTACTAACACTGTTCACCCCTCCCTGTCATTTCCCTGAGGACCACCCAGGCTAGTACCCCTCCAAAGTGGGCGGCCTCAGTCAGTGTGTCTGCAACAGTATGGTTGGGTCTCGTGGCCAATCACACCAAAGGCTGCCCATACATAAGTGAGCCTGCAACAATTGTGGCCAGGCCTCAGAGCCAGTGGGCCCAGGACCAGCCTTGCCTATCAGTGTGTCCATAGAAGTTGTGGCCCAACCACAATAGGAGGCCACACTAGTCCACCCAGGGAACACCTCTGGAGCAACTGGCTCTGATGACAAGGAGGATTCCACCACTGAGCCCCACTGGACACCTTTTAAATAAGGCCACTTTTTTAAGACCATGAGGTTTAGCTGAGCCACCTAATACATAGAAACAAACAGGCAAAATGAGGAGAAAAAAGAATATGTTCTTAAAAAAAGACAAAACCCCAGAAAAAGAACTAAGTGAGGTATGCTGTCTACTATATAAAGAATTCAAAGTAATCATCACAAAGATGTTCATCAAACTCTGCAGACAGGTGGATAAATTCACTGAGAACTTCAACAATGATATCAAAATTATAAAAAGGACCTATTAGAACTGAAGACTATAACAAATGAAATATACACTGGAGGGAATCAGCAGCAGATAGATGATGCAGAAGAATGGAGCAGCAATCAGGAAGACAGAATAGTGGAAATGACCCTATTGGAAAATCAAAAAGAGAAAATAATTAAAAACAATGAGGATAGTATAAGGAGCCTTTGGGACAACATCAAACATACTAACATTCAAATCATGGGGGTCTGAGAAGAAGAAGAAGAGAGCAAGAAGAAAAACCTATTTAAAGAAATAATGACTGAAAATGTCCCTAATCTGGTGAAGAAAATGGACATCCAAGTCCAAGAAGCACAGATAGTTCCAAAGAAGATTAACTCAAAGAGACCCATAGCAAGACACATTATAATTAAATTGTTAAAAGTTAAAGATAGCCCTAACTGGTTTGGCTTAGTGGATAGAGCATCAGCCTGCAGACCGATAGGTCCCAGGTTCGATTCCGGTGAAGGGCATGTACCTTGGTTGTGGGCACATCCCCAGTAGGGGCTATGCAGGAAATAGCTGATCAATGTTTCTCTCTCATCGATGTTTCTCTCTGTCCCTCTCCCTTCCTCTCTGATAAAACCAATAAAATATATTTTTTTTAAAAAAGTTAAAGAATCTTAAAAGCAGCAAGAGAGAAAAACAACTAGTTACATACAAGCGAATATTCATAAGACTGTTAGCTGACTTTTCAACAGAAATGTTGCAGGCCAGAAGGGAGTGGCACAATATATTCAACATGATGAAAGGAGAAAACTTAACAGCCAAGAACACTCTACCCAGTAAGGTTATCATTCAGAATTGAAGGAGAGATCAAGATTAAAAGCTTTTGCACAGCAAAAGAAACCATCAATAAAATGAAAAAGGAACCACCAAATGGCAGAAGATATTTGCCAATGATACATAAGATAAGGGATTAATTTCCAACATATACATAAAGAACCTATACAGCTCAACACCAGGAAGACAATACAATTTAAAAATGAGCCAAGGACCTGAATAGACACTTCTCCAAAGAGGACATACTGATGGCCAGTAGATATATGAAAAAATGCTTAACATCACTAATCATCAGAGAGAGGCAAATTAAAACAATGCAGAATGGCTGTCATCAATAAATCAACAAACAACAAGTGCTGGCAAGGACGTGGAGAGAAAAGAAATTTAGTGCACTGCTGATGGGGATGCAGACTGGTTCAACCACTGTGGAAAATTCCTCAAAAAATGAAAAATTGAACTACCTTTTGATCCAGTGACCCTCCTTTGGAGAATATATCCTAAGAAACCCAAAACACTAATTCAAAAATATATATGCAACTCCATATTCACTGCAACATTACTTACAATAGCCAAGGTATGGAAGCAACTTAGGTGTTCATCAATGGATAAAGAAGTGGATACATTACTCAGCCATGGGAAATAATGAAATTTTGCCATTTGTGACAGCACGGCTAGATCTAGTGGGTATTATGCTAAGTGAAATAAGTCAGAGAAAGACAAATACTGTGTCATTTCACTTTTGTGTGGAATAAAAAAACTAAACAAATGAACAAACAAAATAAACGACTCATAAATACAGAAAAACTCATAGTTGCTTGAGTTTTGAATGGTGGGGGTATGGGCAAAAATCTGAAGGGGATTAAGAGGAACAAACTATAGTTTTAACATAAATAAGTCATAGGAATGGAAATTACAGCATAGGGAATACAGTCAATATTATTACAATAACTTTGTACAGTGACAGATGGATAGTGGACTTTTTGTGGTGATCACTTGGTAAGGTGTATACATGTAAAATCTCACTATGTTGTACACCTAAAACTAATATAATATTGTATGTCAACTATACTTTAATTAAAAAGAGCTTTGCATTCCAGGAAAAAAGAATACAGTTATAATGTGTACTTTTTACAAAATTATCTTTTTCTAGGCTAGTACAATCATAGAAGTAAGGTATAAGATGTAAGATACTCCTAGTGTCCTTAGTGAACTGAATAAATAAAATGTCTCCAATCTAACCACCAAAGAATGACTTGAACACTAGGTAGAAAACAGTCTGTTAATATAATATCAATAAAATGAGAAAGTAATGCTAATATCTGGCACTTTGTGGGTTCCAAATGATGGAAGTAGAAAACTCAACTTAAAGGAAAAGGATCTATGACACTATTAATAATTTTCCTGTCACCTGAGAATACTGGAAGGCTAAAAATTTACCCAAACTAGTCCTTGATTCTTAGTAAATCAGAGCCTTTATGGTTAGATAAAATGATATGTGATCTTTTTATCTATGCCAACTTTGATCTTAAAAACATCACCTATTGATTCAATGAATTTCAGTTGTGGTTATTTTATGTGAATTTTTTTTACATTGCTAAAGTCATTTTCTCATTTTATTCTTAGTGCATTCATTTTTTGGAGTGTCCTCCACATACTAAATGCTATGTAAGTGCTGGGGATACAGAGGAGAAAGATATGGCCTCCAGTTCTCTGTTACTGGATAAAACAGATAAAAAGATAAAATACAGTGTGCTAAGAGTGGGATTGATTCCTTGAAGAGATGGCAGCTCTGCATTTATAGGTTAACTAGAGGCCTGGTGCATGGATTCGTGCACATTGAAAGGAAATTAATTAGAAGAAATATTTTAGAGGCTGGGGAGGGGCCACGGGAGGTCTCCAGGGCAGGTCCGGCCCATCTCACCCAGTCCCAATCAGAATGTCTGCCCCCTGGTGGTCAGTGTGCATCATAGCAACTGGTTGAATGGTCGAATGAATGGTCAGACACTTAGCATATTAGGCTTTTATTATAT